GTTCATAGTAACATCAATACTGGTATACGTATTAGTATTGCTTTTTAATACTAGCATTAAGATTAGCATTAATATGAATACACTCATCTTTAGAATTAGCATTCCGGAATTTCCTACAGTTTCCAAAATTCCAGAACCCACGATACTAATTTTTGGATTTCGAAACATTCCAAAAATTCCAAAAGTCTGAAACTTCTAAAAATCAAAAACCTACAGAGTTAATTTCGAAATTCCTAAACTTAATTCGCAGGTTTTGGAATGTTTGGAATTGCTAGAGTTCTTAAAATTTATTTAGAATTTTGAAAATTAGTATCGCGGTTTTGCGTGTGTGAATTTATAAGATTTCATGCGGAAGGTTGGTCCAGGGTGGTGGGGCTATCATATATACGTATATATGTATACCCACATACATGTGATATATTTTTCCGGAGGGCTTTTGCATGATGTGCGTTTTCTCTATACTATACATTGCCCGGATGCTTGCTCTGAGCACTGCAGCATTGCGATTACCAGAATTCCGCCTTACCCGGAAACCAAAACCCCAGTCGCAGTGTCGCAAATCTTGCGAGGCGCCACCTGGCAGAGTTGGCACAGTGAATGCGCCTGGACTTAGCCTCCCTTTTCCTGGGTTTTCTGGACTAGGACATTCCACTACTGTTTAGGGCGGCCCTGCGTGCTCTGTGCGTGCGTGCTTTGGCGCCAACTCCAAAGACGATTTTCGCAACTGCCGGTGTACCACGACGTACTTCCAGTGAGGCCCTGTTACGGGGGGTTGCGGTGTGGTTCCAGCATTCCTGGAATAGGCGTTTGGTCCTCTATCCAATTTAGAAACTGCATGCCTCTATGCCTTCCTTGATGTAGGACTCGGTCATTGAAGGCTCCTGCGAGAATTGCAAAATGCATTGGATCTGAAGGAGGCTTCTGAAGTGCTGTTATACTGTGTATATAGAAGTGTTGACGAGGGTCGTTCGAGGGAGTAAGCTTTGGTGTACACATCCTCGTTGGATACCCTCGAATAGAATGAAGCTTGGACTCCCATAATTCTCCGAAGAAACCCAAACCAAATCCATCAATTCTTTTGAGGTCCGTGGGAGTTACCAGAACTTTTGTGTCAGCTTTGTAAGGGTTTCATTGTCGGTTTATGAGGTCCCAAGTGTGTGGTTGAGGATCGTAATGTTTAACCACATACATACATGTGTGTATGCTTGACTGTTTGTTTACATGCATATGGTAAGCCACATGGGTTCCCTGGTATGGCAGCTGACGAGCACTGCGTGTTTCAGGGACTTGGCGCGTTGACGCTGCCCGTGTTAGGTCTTGGCCCTGTGGCCCCTGAAGCCTGAAGCCCGGAAACAAGACGATCCGTTCCAAGGTGCAGTCCAAAGCCGCGGACAAATACACAGAGAAGGAGGCAGCTAGACACTTCCATGATAGGATCCGGCGTGTTACATGTTCGGGCCCAAAGGTAGTCTCGCCTGGTAGGTCCTGTAGTCTCATCAGATTCAGATGCTCCAGATGTGAAGTTCAGGCTGTTGCGACTCTAGATTGTTTCTTGTTGGTTGGGGTTGCCGTTCTTCCTTCCACAGAGCTCAGATCTTCCAACTTATTCATATTCTACAGGTTATTGTTAAGCGTTCTGACAAGACTCGTGTTCTCGAAAAACTTAGACCCCAAAACAGCAGCACCAAGTAAGTTAGAACTCTCAAGTCGCAAAGCCTGACATGCGTGATGCACAGAAAGCCCTGCACCCCGAACCTCAGGTCCAGCGCATCGTCACCGCTCACCCGTGGGACCTCATCATCTTCGTCCGACCCCCAAGTGGTTTAAGCATGAAGGGGTCTAGGGTTTAGGGATTAGGGTTTAGGGTCTAAACACTATCGCTCCGATGCCTTATTCATGCAGATGTCGCAAGAGTACTCATTGAGTTTTCTTCTCCGTGTGAAGTCTCTGCATTTTCCCGACGCATTGAGAGTTCATGTGGGCTTTGTCATCGCAGCGCGGTTTCTCGGGAAGAGCTCAACAGTAGATTCACTACGCAGAAAAATCATAGGAACATTTCGTAACCTAAACCCTAAACCTTAGGTATGGCGTGAGCCAAGAATGTTAAACCCTGTGTACTGCTTAAAAGATCTTTCGCAGACATGTCTCTTTACGCAAGCAGCAGATCCATGTTTTAGGGTTCGCGGAGGGACTGGATTGTTTCACAGTCTGATGTACTTGCACATGATCAGGAATTTGACATGTTGGTTCAAGCGCCAAGAAGAGGCATCGACGAAGCAAGTCCAGAGTTGAAATCCGTTTTGTGTGCTTGGCCATCTGTGGATCGGCTGGAAAGCTCGAAATACATGGCAGGTGCGGTCTTTCGTGACTTCCAGATGTTTCTTTCCACACATGTTTTTGTTTCTTTGTTGTTGTGTGTGTCGTGGGTTTTTAAGAACTGCTCAGGGGCTGCTTCCTGGTGGCGTGTCCGACATTTGCAAAGCTTTGAGCGCGAAAGTTTCTTTAGACAGGCGCGGCTTGCTGCAAGTTTCCCAACGTTCCCGGCTTTGTTCTATCAGGCGACTAAAACTTCCCGGAGAGGATCTTAACTACGGCAGACACAAGCTACAGCGGCCAAGGGCCTAGTGATGTAGTGTATCTGGCACAGAAGGTATCATGATAGGCATCGCATGTAATTACAAGCCATTCGTTCGCCGGCATTTGCTCAGAAAAAGCGACCAAGACGCAGCTCTCGGATTTGATGTGGAGAAAACCAACAATACCCAGCAGCACAATTTGTTACAGCCGAATCCTCGGAGTTTTATTTTCAGAGCTGGAGGCAATCGTGCCAAGCAAAATGCAGGACACCCTGGATGGACTTTTCTCCCTGCCCCCCGCCCCAACTGCACAAACATCGCGGGCACGGGCACTTCCGAAGGCTGAAATCATCAAAATCCACGAACACCGAGTCGAAAGAAAGGGCCTTGAAACCTAGTGAGAAGTGCGCTTGAAAAGGGCGATGGAAGGAGCAAATAGTACTGTAGTATAGTTTCCCCTCCTGTCTTTATTCGAGTTATGCAGGCCCTAGATTGGAGTTTGGGGTTCCCTTAAATCCCAGATCCGAAAGAGGCTCCTCGATTGGTTGATGAACCTGGTTCATGTGATCCTGGTGCACATGTGTGGTCGAGAGACTTGCTTTTCATTCGTCCTTTGCTCTCGGGCCGGCTTTTGTTGCTTGAATAGTTCTGTTTGTTGCTAGTGTTTCTGTGGCTATGCTTGCTGTTGTGATTGTTCTGCTGTGATCATTGTCGCCAGTATTCTTGAATGCCAAACTTAGGACCGATCCACCTCTGCCTGGCCTTTCGAGCATCCCATGAGCCAATGAAGCTTTGCTCCTCCCGTATGTGCTGTCGGCAGCTTGTATCCGTCTGCGTCTTTCCCGTGCCCCGAAGCAAAAGTGTTTCTGCTTCCAACCCTGTCACTTCTGAGGCTCTCGGCATTGACCTGCCTGCGAGTAGCAGCGTTGCGGATGTGCACAAGCACCAGGACCGGCGAATCATGATCGCTGCAAGCACTGGAGCAAGTCTATCACTCTGGAGTGCTTGGCATAGACTCTAGGCCTCAAGAAAGGAATGTTGAGCTGCTCTGTCCTTTGTATGAGACCTTTGGCCGTAGGAAGCACTAGGCCGACAACAGTCTTAGCGGGCAGCAGCAGCAACAGAGCGAGACCTGCTATCGGGACTGCGGCCATTATGGCACTGCTCTGCTGCTGCTCCTGCTCATCATCATCATCATCATCATCAACAACATCATCATCGCAATCCTCATCCACCTCATCAACTTCGTTCTTCTTCTCGGCCGCCTCCTCCTCGGCCTCCTCCTCCTCCTCCGCTCCTCATCATTTTCACCGCAATCCTCTTCGTTGCCAGCTTTCTCCATCTTCATCGTCATCGTCATCGCCATCACCACTGCCCAGTCACTGTCATAGTCCTCTTCATCTTCTTCGTCGCGCCACTCGACATCCTCAGTAAGGTTTCACCATCACAGTGCGTGTCCAAAGACCCTCAGTTCTGGAAGCCCACGCGCCCACTCCCAGCTTACGAGGCGGATGTCATGAAGCCTGCGGCTCAGATTTTTTTGGGCTCGAGGGTCGTGGCAGTGGAAACTCGTCTCTACTGAGATTCTATTCTTTTCAGGCTTCTCTCTTCAAAGACCTTAATCGTTGAGAATGCTCCGCTTAGCTGAGCTGGCAAGCCACAGAATGATCATACGAATCAGGGGCTTCACATGGGCTCACTGTATCCAACCATATCCTAGTGGATCCGGTGAAGATCCGACAGCCACCAGAGTTCTGAGTGCTTGGAACCGACGCGAAGTCCCAAGCTTGAAGGCCGAACCCCGACAGCCTGAAGTCTGACGGTCTCGGGTGTCTCTTGAGCCGTGACTCAACAGCATACCTCGGCAAAAGGCACCGAACACCTCAAGACGCTTCTAAGCACCAGAAGCTGCATCAGGGTCTTCTTGACGATCCTCAAGAAGCTCGAAGACTCCAGATGCAAAAGGCAAAGAGCCGGGAGTTGTGCACTTTTCCTTTGTTGCAGGCCTAGTCCTAACAGCTTCAGGGGTTCAGTTTTTTTTGCTAGGGCCGTGTGCGCGCACGTCGTCGCGCGCACTTTGGCGCCATCTCAAGGTTCAGGGGTTTAGGCTTTAGGGTGTCAGGATGTGGGATCTTGGCAGAGCTTTTCGGGAATGTCGCACCCTAAATGATGGTCAATGGGCATATGGCTGGTGCACCTCCAGGATAACTTTTGTCAAGTATGTTCAAGCTCTCTCTCATGAAGTCTTTCTTGGTATGTCTCGTATGTATGTATGTATGTCTGTCTGTCTGTCTGTCTGTCTGTCTGTCTGTCTGTCTGTATGTATGTATGTATGTATGTATGTACATATATATATATATATAGCTACAGACTAGTACTCCAGAGTATATACTATGGTATGCTGTGTCCTTTCATACGGCAGACATGGACACCCTGTTGGCGAGGTTCTGCGTTATAACGGCGGACACTTTCGCAGAGGAGCGAGAGATCCATGAGGCCCCAGGGGGATCAATATCTTTTTTTAAAATTCTCTCTCTCTCTCTCTCTCTTTCTGCCTCTCTCTCTCTCTCTGTCCCTCCCTGTTCCTGACTATCAGTGAGCGTGTCTTGTATACACATATGTACGTATCAATGAACCTCTCTCTCTCTTTCTCTTTCCTTCTCCTTCTGTCCCCGTCTTGCCATCTATCTGCCGCTACTTATCTGTCAAGCTATATGTACCTCTTTCATTTGCCACTTGTCAGGGTACACAGAGAGCAAGATAGGTTGGTAGATATGTAGGTAGGAAGGCAGGTAGTTAGATAGGTAGACAGAGAGATTGTGCCTGCACCTCTGTTCACATCAATACCACATCTAGTCTCTGGATTGTATACACATGATGTTTCCAGGCATGAATGCATGTTTGCATAAAGGCATGCATGCATACATTACGACGGACAAGTGTGTGTAGATCTTAGATGTGTATGCTTGCCATGTATATGCATGTACATACACATGCATATTTGTATATACATATATATATATATACACATATGTATACATGTATATATGTTTATATTCATGTATGTATACGTGCATGCATGCATTTATGTATTGGTGTTTATGTTTATACGCCTGTATGTATTTGCGCATATATGTACATATGTATATATGCAGATATGTATATATGTGTATGTATACGTCTATTTTTTAAGTGTCAGGCAAAGGCTGTCTTTGCCTGCAGGAACTGGGCCTGGGCCTAATCACCAACGCCACGCTGTTCGGTGCATGCAACACAGCGAGGCCGAGCCATGGCTCCGGAATTTCGGATTCAGGGCCGGCGGGAGCTTCATGATGGAGGTTAGGTCCCAAGAATCGCGACGTTCACTTATAAGCAAGACCATAGAAGACCACTACTGATTATGAAAAGTAGGTTGAGTACATGGTTCATGGGAGTGCCTAAACCCTAAACCCTGAACCGGGAGTGCTGATTCCTGCTCCGTGGTGGTAGCTTGTCGTGACCTCAAAAGGTACGAGGTGCCATGCCGGAAGCTCGGATTTCGGGACTTTGGGCTTTTCATCCGGCTGGGAGGTTGTTCGGGTTTTAGGGTATACGGTTTGGGATTATAGGTTTTAGAATCTAGGTTTTAGAACATAGGGTTTAGGATCTAAGGTTTATACGGTTTGCTGTTCGGAGGTATTGGGCTTCTCCTTCGGAAGGCCGGGTGAAGATACGAAAAGCAGCTCCTTCCCATTGCGACGTCCTCTGCACGCATCTTACCCGTTAGGGTTTAAGGTTTAGGGTTTAGGGTTTAGAGTTTAGGTTTTAGGGTTCAGGGCCTTAAATCGTCAGCTCCGGCTCCTTGAAGCAACAAGTCGAATCCCGCTCGATCAAGGCTCCCTCTCGCCAGGGTGCTTCCATCAATAAAGGATTCTGCATCAGGGTTCCGTTTCTTCTGATATTTCCATGCGCTTCAATGTCTTCGAAGTCGGCGGCATAGGCAGGTTTTCGCAAGGTTTGGGGATTTCTATGTGGGTCCCTTAAGGGAGTCCTGCAGGGTTCCGTTTAAGCAGCGATTCCCATAACGTTCTTTCGGGACGGGGAAGCCTGGAGTAGGAGCAGATGCACAAAAGCTCAAACCTTCAACACATGCCAGAACCCCTGATCCTAGCACCGAAAAGAACCCCAAGCCTTGAGCCCGAAGCTCTTGAGCGCAAAAGAGAGAGTTCGAGGCCCGGTCCAGTTCATAGACACCGAGTGGGCGCTGAGGAACTCCCGTGTCTGAAGTCAATGTTGGGCGGGCTTAAGATCAGGCCTTCATTGCAGGCACGACTGTGAGTGAAGTCAGAAGACATAGGTCATAGCTTTGCTGAGAAAGTGCGTCAATACTTCACGTACAAGCAGAAAGGTAGCAAGCAACGGTGATGCGTTTTGTGCCTGTTTGTCTGCATTATGCATGTATGCCTATCTGTCTGTCTGTATGTATGTCTGGATGTGCGTACCTATGTATATATGAACTTATGTATGCATGTATGTATGCATGCATGCACGCATTGCGGCTATTGAGCACTTGGTCTCGGGCCTTCCAACGTCGACAGCCACAGCTGTTGATATGTTGACAAGGGTTACCTGGTACTACCTGCAGCATCCGAGTTGCACCTCGCCTGGTTGATCCACTCGCTGAATTCGTGATCATCCGGATGCTCCTGCGGCGCTAGCTTTTTGCAACCAGCCCCACGGTATGTTGGTCATGTATACATACGTCTATGTGTATGAACTGCTCGCTGCTATTATGCACCATTATAACTTGTCATCTGTTATCATGCAATACCAGTTAATGCCAGATTTTTGCCGCATAGTTTCATATGTATAGCTTGTTACCTGTTGTCACTGTCAGCTATTCTGCATCCTTGTATATTGCGACGAAAAAGGTTTGATTCATTATATAATGTGCTGTTGTTTTTATTTGCTTTCACATCCGAATATACTCAGTTTTAGCATTGCTGTATATTATATCATTTCATTCCACTTTACGATAATATACACCGCATTATACGAGTTCGTATTTTGCTTTTAATTTTTGTATTGTTAATCTACACTGTTATTTCTACATGTAGCTCTCGTTATATATGTATATTTGTTACAATGTACATGTGTATATGTATATATATATATATACACACATAAATAAATAAGTAAATAAGTAAATAAATAAATATATATATATATATAGATGTGTTTGCGTTTGTCTTGTAGCATTACTATATATGACCAAGTTTCTAATCCAGTCTCTTTGTCTCGAAGTCTTTCTTATCCTCTTTGAGCCCCGAAGTTCTGAGCGTCCGATCCTGCGCTCACAGTCCCAAGACCCGGCGCCCTACAGACAGCCTTAAACCCTCAACCCAATGCCCTGAACAAATACGAACTGCAAGGACCGAAAACGTGAAGTACCTGGTGGCCGAGATCTTTCGACACGCTTCCTTTGGTCCCGGAGCCCAGAGTGTCTGGCCTCTTCAGGACTCTGGGGCCCTGTGGGGTTTTAGGGTCCGGGTCTTCAGTAGAAGAGGACCCGGATCCTGGGGTTCTGTGGGATGCTACGTTAAATCGGGACTGCTTCAGCCCTGCTCCTGCAGTGGGCTGCACGGGTGACATCATCAGCGTGCCGCGTGCGCATCATTTTGTCCAATCTGCTTTTACGCGGCGTGTATGTCGCAGGCCCGTCGCCCGTTCTCGTCTCGCCTCGTCTTCTCATGCAGTATGTTGCGCGAAAAACTCTGCCGTGACTCTTAACATGTCATACCAGGAGCGTCAACCTGATGTGTGGTTTGGTACCAGAATAGTGTGCAGTATTGAATGTCTCGTCCAGTTGCTCAACCGTATCAACGTAACAACCAGCGTCATCGGAACTGCGACGAGACTCAGCCATTCCGTGTGAAGACACAGGACGACTGTGGAAGAACCGGCCTCACTCTCCCCAATGGCTTTTCTTGAGAAGACCCTCGAACTCTACGGCTCCAAATACACAAGGTTTTTCAGAACTTGTTAATACCCTAAGCCGCCTAGATCCTAAACCCTAAACTTGTAGTTTCCGACGCGACAGAGAATTTATGTCCTACCCGGTGTCTTTTTTCGTCGACTTAGGCCACAACTCCGTGCGCATCCTAAACAAGGGACGCTATGTGCCCGGCTCTTGGGCTGGTACCGGCGTTTGGTGTTTCAAGATCTAGGGTTTAGTTTAGGGTTTAGTTTTCTGCAGTTTAGGGTTCTAGGGCTTTGGGTTTAGCCTTCACGTTGATGCTATCGGACCTGTTGTATCCCAGGTCGACAATCTGACCGGCATTTGAAGTGCACGCAGCATCGTCGAAGTCCTTCAGACTCTTGTGAAGCATCATTGCCAATATCATTGCTTTTGGCATCGTCGGTTGGTAGTGTGAAGACTGTGAACTTTTGTGTGTCCTGCTGTAGCATATCATACTCTTTGCTCTTGTGATTTGCACTTGTGTTGCTAGCCCTTTTCCTCCGTCAAATCGTGTCTGCGCATGTTTGTGATCTTCATCTTCTCTTTAGCAGGTGTGCCTTTGCGAGTGCTGGGAGACCCCAAACGTCGATGCAGTAGGGGATTTGATGCCAGGCCCTACTTATTCAAAGAATCAAACGTTTCAAAGCTTCCCAGTCTGAGTCTTTTGGAGCTTACGGGCACCTGCCACACCGAAAGAGCGCTGAAGCCTGCAATCTGTAAGCACCAAAGGCCCTCTTTTGTCCATCCCTGTCCCAGTGACTCTCCCCCCTCCTCTGCATCCTCTGGCCTTCCCGCGTGCGTTCGTCCCCTCAGGCTGAGGCAGATGTCTTGCAAGCCATATCTCAACAACCCGGAGTGGCAGCTTCCCGAGGACGCCGGAAGAGGGGGAACCTTTCCGAGCCCCCGTATCTCACTGGCGTCTTTTCATGGTTGTTGTTGAAGTTCGGGTCTAAACCCTAAACCCTAAACCCTAAACCGTAAACCCTAAACCCCAAACCCTAAACCCCAAACCCTAAACCTCTCCAGTCGGCATGGCGTCAGTTCCACCACCCTTGCCTGTCTACTACTAGTAGCTTCCTCTCTCTTCTCCCAGGGCAAATGTAAAGCCCCGGATCTTCTTTGCTTCTTTGGGCACCTGATATAGAAGTTTACACAATTGCCACTACTAATCCTTAGGGTTCCTGACTATAAACCTATAATAATCTAGCCCCAAACCCTGTCCAAATTACTAAAATCGAATCCTTAGAGTCCCCCTTATAGAACAAGTTATAGGAACCCTTAAAAGGAACCCTATTCTTAAGGCCCCTTATACTAAGTGAACTGCCTCGGTAGGATGGTGTCATTGCCATCTCTGGTGGTAACGGCGCTCTGGGTTTGGTCATGGGAGGCTGGATTCTGCGCACGGCCGGGGCGCCTGGGGGGTCCGGGGGTCCTGGTTTCGACCTCCCTTTAACGAGAAATACAGTAGATACTGTTGTTATCACTGTTGTGATTATTTTGGTACGGTTATGAGTTAGTATTGTTTTTTTCCTGATATGGACAAACACGTTGCAGCTACAAGCATCTTGGCAACACGAAGCTTTCCACGAGGACTCTGATGGCTGCTACGACTTTTCACTGCGCTAGACAGCGACGAGCTGCTTCAGGGGGGTTTAGGGTTTAGGGTTCAGGGTTTAGGGTTTTGGGTTTAGGGTTTAGGGCATCCCTAAACCCTGAACCATCCCAAGCCCGAATCGGCACCTCTTTCCCAAAGCCAGAGCTTCAGTTCCCCAAAACGTGCCGTAGGCACTGAGGCAGCCTGCCCTGGGAGAAACCACAGGAGCCGAAGTCCTTGCAGAATTTGGGAAATCTGGAAATGTAGCTTTCTGGCACCTCGGGGAGTTGGCTCAGACCTCTAAGCAAAGCTCCCGCTGAGGCCAAGCGCCAGGGCGGCAAGAAATTCACCATCAAGTTCCTATCCAGGCTTCTTCCTCTTCTTGTTGGTGGGTTTGATGTGCGACGCTGGTAGACTTGTTCAACGGGGTTTGCAGCTCAAGGGTGTCTGGGGTGCCGGGTTTAGGGAGCTGCGACGGTCAGCCAGCAATTCAGTCCTGGACCTGTCTGTGAATGCCAAACAAGGTGGTTGGGGCGATGCTGAGTAGACAGACAACAAATAACAGTGAACAGTTTTTAATAAAATAGTAATGACAATAACAAAAGCAGTTGTAATGGAGCCATATTCATAATCATATTCATCATGATCATGATCATGATCATCATCATCATCATCATCATTTTCATTTTCATCATCACCATCATCATCATTATCACCATCGTCACCATCATCTTCATTATCACCATCATCGTCGTCACCGCCATCATCACCATCACCATCATCATCACCGGCACCATCATCATCATCATCATCATCATCATCATCACCACTATCACCATCATCACCATCACCATCACCATCACCATCACCATCACCATCACCATCACCATCACCATCACCATCACCATCACCATCACCATCACCATCATCAAGACCTCCTTTAAAGTTTAAGGCTTAAGTCTCAGGGGTGAGAGCAACGTTTAGGGTATCACCAACAACATTCTCTTCACATGAGGCACGGTCTTGCAAGTGTCTCGCATATCGGAATCGTGATTTCTCTGCGTCGCTTGCTTCTGCCATTGCGATAGCCCTTCTGCAGGTCCTGCAAGATCAGCGATCAGAACATGCCCAACTGGCAGGACCGGGCTGGCGAATTTGATCATGTTTCTAAGATTTTATTCGAGTCGTGTAGTGCAAGCTTAGAGCCCAGCGTCCGCAGAAGTTATCGGCTTCTGGAGCGAAGCTTCACATCGATGTAGGTGTAGGTGTGTAGGTGTCTGTCTGCCTGGTTGTCTGTATGTATGTAGGTAAGTATGTAGACATGTAGGTGTGTAAATACGTAAGTACGTATGTATGTATGTATGTATGTATGTATGTATGTATGTATGCATGCATGCATGCATGCATGCATGCATGCATGCACACACATAGCACAGACAACGCAAAGTCTGGATTCATGGGTTTTGGTCTCGTGTTCAACTATAGGGGCCTAAAGGTTCCGTGTCATAGGTATACTATAAGGTACCCAACACCCTATTCAAATTATCAAAGCCCCCATATCGCTACGATGCGCCAGGAAGTCCAGTCACTAGCGGCGTCTCTGGGCATCACAGTGGAGCAGGCGAAGTGCGACGTGAGCTCCCAGGCGCCGTGAGTACATGCTTCAGAATATATCCTACAGCCTAAACGCTGAACCCTAAATCCCCCCTAATCCCGAAGCCCTGAACCCTCAGCCCTCAACCCTGAACACTTTGGACGCGAGGAGTCGGTGGATCAGTTCATCTCCAGCGTCACACCGAACCTCACAGGAGCAACTCTGGAACCGGAATCGCTGCTAGCTGTATCGGTCTTTTCGGGCCCCGTCTACTGCAAGCCAAGCTGCTGGCAGCCTCATCTCCCATGACACAGCATGGCCTTGATTCTGTCAGGATTTATCCACTCGGCCGGAATTCTGCAGGCCCCGCGTGCACTCACGACGGCTATGCTTGAACCCTGGACCCCAGTCCAGTTGCTGTAGTCGGCCCTGTACATGACAAGAGCCTCTTGAAGCTTGACATGCTGGACTCAGCAAGTCCGGGCCTCGTTGGTGCAGCCTTCAAAAACGAGCACTAGGCACCAAAGGCGTAGAGTGTGAGAAGGCCTCATGTGTCAGCCAGAGTGGCATCTTGTCGTTCCCGGAGTCGGGACGTGTAGGATTTTGTGAGGGACGATCTGCCGGAGCCGCCTCAGCGCAGGATGCTATGCTCATGAACCAGACCTGGGAAAAGTTCGATGCCGTGTATGAGGAGCGACGGTTCTTCGCCCTGCACATCCCCTGCCTTGCAATTAATGGTCCAACCTCTTGCCGCGGGCATTGCGCGAGGAGATCTTATGTGTTTCGGTATGGGGTCCGGTGTCAAAGTTCAACTCCGCAATTGCAGGCGCAAATCCGCAGAAACGCTTTTCAATAGTTACAGCGAGCCCTTCATCACTGGAACTCGATGACCGCTCTCCCGCATGAGCATTTGCCAGGGTTTCAGACTGTACTTTATCTCCGGGAATGGATCCTAAACCTTAAACTCTAAACCCTAAGCCCATAAAGAGGCAGAGGGGAGTAGGAACTAGACTAGGTTCCTTTAAGGGTTCCTTAAGCGTTCCCTCAAGGGTTCCTCTAAGGGTTCCTTAAGGGTTCCCTTACTGGTTCCCTTAAGGGTTCCTTGAAGGGTTCCTGACCGGGTTCCATAAGGGTTGTAGTAAGGGGTTTAGTCTAGGGGCCGTCATTATTTAGGCTAGGGTTTGGGGCCGTAGAGTAGAATTCGAACGAGGAGCTCTTGGGAATGCTTTTTATATTCCTAAACCCTCAACCCTAAACCCTGGCCTTAAACCGTAAGCCCTTAAACCCTAAACCCTTAAACCCTAAACCCTTAAACCCAAAGCCCAAAACCCTAAATCCTTAAACCCTTCAACCCTAAACCCTAAACCCTAAACCCTGAACCCTAAAAAAAACTCTGAACCCTTTTATTCCGACCGATTATGCCCAGACAGCGACTTGGGACTTGGGGAGCCCCAGCCTCCGGCAGGGGGTCCGGGTCTTCGGTGTCAGTGTTTAAGGGTTTAGCGTTTAGGGGTTTTGGGGTTAAAGGTTTCGGGTTTAGGGTTTAGCGTTTAAGGATTTGGGGGTTTAAGATTTAGGGTTTAGGGTTTAGAATTTGGGGTTTAAGGGTTTAAGGGTTTAGGGTTTAAGGGCTTAGTGGTATAGGGTTTAGGGTTTAGGGTTTCGGGGTTAAGAGTTTAAGGGTTTAGGGTTTAGGGTTTACGCAGAAGCAGCACTACCGTGGTCACCACCACCGCCACCATCATCCACAGCAGCTGTTCCGGATCATCATAAGAGCAGGATCGAGTTCCTTTTGAGCCGGATCAGCGTGGGCCCTTACTGTGCGGTCTCACACCTTCAATCCGAATTCTTAATAAACTAGATCTTTTCACCTCCCATCCTCAACTGCAAAAGCCGCTTGTAGTAAGTGTAAGCTCGCAGCAAGTTGTTTGGAAGGCCAAGAGCCGTGCGGCCGCCTACCTCCACGATGCGCATCTGCACCCAGAGGGAGATATGCATAATGTTTAGAGTAGGAAGGAAAGAGCAGCAAGAGCCTCAACACTGACAAAGAACTCATGCCGTCTTCTTCGGGCTTGCATGCACATGCAGCTCCAGCTCGGCAAAGCCAGCAAAAGCCGCGTATATGCCATGAGCCGAGGCTGGAGAGGTTCTCAAACCCAAATCTCAAGTTCTTGTGGCTCTTCTCATCCACTGCCGTCGGGGCCTGATTCCTGAGTTCAAGCTTTGCACCTGTCACCGGCAATCAGCATAGTGGCTTCACTGTCTAGGGATGAGGATCTTGATGTCAACGTGAGGCTTTGGGATCACAGACGCTGACTTACGTCTCTGAGCAGTCTTCCTTACATACTAGAGTTCAATCAACCTTATGCAGGCATGGAAACTCACCGGCATCTGGACATTGAGGTGTGAGCCTGGGTGTAGAGTTCAGGGTTCTCAGACATGATTTGGTCGTTGTTTGACCACGGGCTTTACTTGCCCAAAAATCAGCACAGAGTCCGGGTCCACGGAGAATGCATAGCTGAGACAGTTTTAAGGGTTTGATCAGCATCACCCCAGGTGCAGTGTGTCATTGGTGTCTTTCGATTGAGATCATACGAGTTGTCGTCGTAGTCGTAGTACGGCGTGCTAGCACTACTATTATTCACCAACAGGAGCAGCAACTGCTCGCAGTGTTTGTGATAGTAATCTCGAGTTCCTCCTGTGGACATGCTGAGGTGTACGGCAACATGGGACAGCTGAACTACTCGTCGTCCAACGCCTGGTTGGATGCTTTGTCTCGGCATCGGAATGCGCCGGGCTTCCCAGAGATTTCGCACACGTGGCTGCAGGAACAGTTTGCCATAGAAGGATAACAAGTAGTCGTCACGAATCTAAGGCTCAATTAAGAATGCACGTTTAAATGAGTCAGCGGACAGATTCTTCGGTTGAGGCCTTGCGCGTAGGTGGAATGCTTGTCTTTAGTTGCAGGCTTTCGCTAGAAGCGACCGCTAGCTTGCCAATGTCAGTACAGGACGTTCACAGTTCGGTGAAGGCAACGCTAAGTAGCACAGATATGCTGCACGAAGCAGTTTTGAACATTGTTCCTCGTTGCCCTACTGGGCTAAAGGAAAATCAGAGGAAAGAGGCATCTCGCCCCGACCCGGCCCAAGATCTGAGGGCTCCTTCCGTTCTGCAAGGCCCAGGGCGGACACTGCGCCTCTTCGGCTAAGATGCTGAGCCTGAGACTTTAAGACTTTCAAGTCTCAGCAACCCCCTAAACCCAAAACCCTAGACGCCCTAAAACCCTAAACCCTAAACCCCTAAACCCTAAACCCTAAAGCCCTAAACCCTCAAACCCTAATACTAATCCCAAGGCCCTCGAACCCTAAGCTCCTTCAACCCCCGAAGCCCGAAGCCATCCGAAGCCTCCCAACCCCATACCCCGATGCTTTAACTCCGAAGCAGCCCTAAACCCTAAACCCTAAACCCTAAACCCTAAACCCTAAACCCTAAACTCTAACAGCCCATGCCTAGAGCCCTGAGGCCCCGACACCCCAGCACCCGACGCGATCCTAAGCCCAAAGCCCGGAAACCATGAGCGAGGCTTTGGGTGTATGGGTTTAGGGTTTAGGGTTTAAGGTTTAGGGTTTAGGGTTTAAGGTTTAGGGTTTAGGGTTTAAGGTTTAAGGTTTAGGGTTGAGGGTTACCTGAAAGCCCCCGAAGAAAAAACGCTTTTTAGCTCAACCGTCTGCCCGGCACCAGAGCGACAGAGAGCCCAGGCTTGGTAAACCATGCGCAGCACCGCAGCGCCAGCCTTGGCAGGGCTTCAGGTGTGGAGGTTTTGTGGTTCTTGTGTTTAGGTTTCAGTTTCTTATTAACAGGGGGCAGGACCGAGTTCTGGGCTGTTTAGGGCTTACGCTGTAAGGGCTCGGTTGGGTTGGCTAGGATCCAGGTTTCAAGGTTTCGGGGTTAGTTACGGTGGAATTTCTGAGGCGGGCTTACTGCGGCTTACTCTTCCCGGATGGCATGGGCCAGTGCACGCCCAACTTTGACTGAACTCATGTCAGTGTCGATCTGAAGGCCACCCGCCCCAGCAACGTGCATATACCCTGAGTATGACTAGCGGTAGCAACCTTGTACTCGTTTTGGCATCGGTACTCGTCGCCGTGCTTGTCGTACTGACAGAGACAGTGGTACGGGTAGGATCTTATGACTGGTATCACACGTACTGTGAGCTAGGTGATTTTAGCATCACTGTCGCAACAGTAAGACGGGGTGTGACCCTGCTCAGATTGGCAAAGACTGGGTAAGTTATTGCTGCCGATAGTACTCAGATCAACGACCTAGTGGCAACAGTAGGAATAGTAGGCCAGGCTTTGGAGAAAGGGCTTCGTCGCAGCGGATTTTGCGAACTGATAGCAGCATCAGCAACCAAAGCACTTTAGGGCGCATGACGATATGCAATTATATTGACATTTATAGGTTGCTATGCAGGCGTTGGTATCTGGTATCGCGGGGAGCAAACTAATATCTCTGGCCTTCCTTGCAAAGGTGGGGTGCCTGGGGCGAAGTGGGGATGGCTGCCAACTTAGATGATGCCTCCCAGAGGCCAGAAAGGAACGACCTTGTCTTATCGTCTGCCTCTGTATAATATACATATATATCTATATTTATACCTATATATATATATATATACATGCACATATACATATACATGTATATATATATATATACATACACACGCACATTCTGATAGAAACAGTGGCCTGTACACACACACACACACTTCACACACACACACACATATATATATATATACATACACGTATATGCACACATATGTATCTAAGTATGTACATACGCACATACACACACATGGCACGATGGATAAAAATGCAACTATACACATGTACATGTGTATTCATATGTATGCATACACATATGCATATATGTATTTACACTATATATATGCATATGTACATGTACACATATGCATATGTGGGTATACACATATAGCATGTACTTGTTGTTTTACTATAGAGTTGTTAATTTGTTCATCTGTTTTGGTTACATATGGTTACATATACGTACATATGTACATATCGACGTACATACATGCATACATACATACATACATACTTACATACATACGTACGTACATGCATACATACATACATACATACATACCTACATACATACGTGCATACATACATAATACATACATACATACATACTTACTTGTTTACTGACTTACTTACCTACTTACTTACCTACTTACTTACCTACTTACTTACTTA